AACCCTGAACCGTGAACCCTAAGAATCAAATCCTGAACCCTAAACCCTAAACCCTGAACCCTAAATCCTGAACCCTAAACCCTAAACCCTGAACCCTGAACCGTGAACCCTAAAAATTAAATCCTGAACCCTAAACCCTAAACCCTGAACCCTGAACCGTGAACCCTAAGAATCAAATCCTGAACCCTAAACTCTAAACCCTGAACCCTAACTCCTAAACCCTAAACCCCCAAACCCCGTAATTTTCTGCGTCCCACCGACCTTGAGCGCTTGATCGAACTTGGCGTCGGGCAGCCGTTTCACGGCCTGCACCATGGAATCAAAGAAGCCTCTTCGGCTCCTGCGTACTGCCTCGTCGTTATCCTGGGCTCTTGTTTGGGGGTCCCCTTTAAGGGCTCGGTTTAGGGTTTAGGGTTTATGGTTTAGGGTTTAGGGCTTTGGGGTTTAGGGTTTAGGGGTTTTGGGTTTGGGGGTTCCTGAAGGGGTTCTAGAAGGGCTACTACAAGGGCTTAGGGCTCAAGATTAGTAGTACTATTCCTGGGTTCTTGTTAAGGAATTGAGTTTAAGTTACCACAACCGGGGATCTGTAGCAACAAATTTGGCGTCCTCATTATGGTAACTTCAGTCAAATTTCCAAGATTCTAAGGGCTATGGAGACTACCTGGCTATATAATGGGTATATAAGGACTATACACTGGTTATTTAAGGTAATGGGATAAGGGTCCCTATTAGGGGTCCCTCCTAAAGTCCTGAGAACTTCAACTTCCATAAACCCTAAACCCTAAACCCTAAACCCTAAACACTAACGAGAGCCCAGTGTCCCACTCTGTCTTGATTTCTGCCAAACAGCTGGGACCTTTGGCCCGCAAAGAGATCCGCGCCCAGGGAGCCGTAACGGGTGGATGGAGCAGATGGACATCCGCGGTCATGGAACATTGAGCACACAGGGAACCTCTTCAGTCTCTACCTTAACCTACCAGAACCTACTTTTTGGTAGGGCCCCTATAAATTCCCATAGTAGGGTTGAAAATAAGAACCTACCAAAAAGCAGGGTTTGGTAGTTTAAGGTACAGACTCTGCATTCTGCTGCTGCACACCTGGGCCCATACCTCTGCTTGGGCGGAAGCCGAACAATTTCCTTGCTAGTGGTATGGAACCGCGATGTTGCATCCGTATATTTCTGTGGCCACTGCGTGACGGAAAGCGAGCCTCGTTTCTATCCTTGCATGACGTCGCTGTAGCCGTTCTGGGGCTGCGCGCGTTGCCAAGAATGGTTGGGAAGCTACGAACGAAGGCAGTTAACCAAAGTACAGACACAGCCAAACGCCTTTTCTAGATCAGCTCCCCCTCAACTTAAACCCCCAAACCCGAAACCCTACACCCCAAAACCCCAAAAAACTTCAGACCCTGAAGACCCTAAACCCTAAATGCTAAAACCCTCAAGCCCTAAACCCTAAGAACCCTAGAACCCCAAAGCCTCTACCCTAAAAACCCTAAACCCTAAACCCTAAACCCTAAACCCTAAACCCTAAACCCCTAAGAACCCTAAAGCCCTGAGAACCCTAAAAAACCCTAAGAGCCCCAAAACCCGAACTAAGCGGAGGATGCTGGGAGGAACCCAAGTCTGCCGGGAGGTCGATGCCGTCGAAGGCAGGAAAGTCCTGCGAGACCAGAACAGAGATTTCGGGATAACTTCGGGGCATAGGGTTTAGGGTGTAAGGGTTTAGGGTGTAAAAAACTTTAGGGTTTAGGGATTTAGGGTTTAAGCTTTAAGGATCTAGGGGTTGAGGGATTTAGGGCTTAAGGATTTAAGGATTTAGGGTTTAAATTAGGGTTTAGGGTTTAAGGATTTCGGGATTTAGGGTTCAGGGTGCAAGGATTTAAGGATTTTGGGGGTTCGGGCTTCGGGTTTAGGATGAGACGCACCGGACGATGCAACTGACCACTGCTCTACGAATCGCAAAGGCATCGCACCTTTTGACTTGCGGCACACCTACGGAACGTTTCACGCAGGAATCGCGCTTCGCACTGATTCGCTGCGCAAAGGGTTTGAGCAAAGTCTTCGCAACTGCAAGACATCCTCAAAACCGGAAACTCGAAACGGATGAGGATACGACGTTGGAACAGAAGCACAGCTAGCCACGACACAAGCTGCAGGGTGCCGGGCCCAGGATGTCAATCCGCAACACGATTCCTGTCAAGCACTGCCCAGGAGAATGCCACAGGAATACTAAAGGGTAGTTTCCGAAAATAGGGGACCCTAATATAGTACTCTAAATGATAGGATCCTTATTATAAGGACCCCAAAATAAGGTACCCAATTTTCGGAAACCCCCATAT